AATTGGGTCTTGATTTTCGTGAAATTGGGCTAGGGACTTTTGCATTATCATTAACAGAATATATTTACAGATAAGCAAGAACATGGTCCCTAGAAAGCTGACATTTAATAATATGATTTAGACACATTTTGTTGCCTGCAGTGAATAAATAAATGAAACGCCTTTATAATACATACTTTACATTTTACTCAGCCCTTTGCTTCCAGCAAGTATATAGAGATGACTCTATATACATATATATAAAATGGTTTGTGCTGACTGACTGATTGACTGATTGATGATCAATATCACTTTTTTGTTTATCATTCGTTCGGTCTCAAAGTGTTTTTTAAAGATCATTGACAATCATCTGATTCGTGTTTCATACTTTTTGAAAATAAACACTCTTGGAATATATATATGGCTGAAAGATTAAATGGGCGAAGTCTTGAGCTTGTTTCACGCTTGTCGGAAATTAGTCAAAGGTTGCAAGCGTGAAGCTTTAAGCTTTGGCTTCTAGTCGGCTTTAAACGTATCTTCAAAGATCTACATAAGAACTATATTTTAACGAATTTCCGTGATTTTGGATATTCCACCCATTATTGTGGAAAATAGGCGAAAAATTGAGAATTTTTTGTTTATTGGTTTCAAACTGCTTTTTCAATGATATTTTATTATCTAGTATATATAAAAGGTATTAAGTTTAATCAGTAAAAACATTGCGATTATGACTTTTTTGAATGCTGAAAAATCCCTTTTTAATACAAATAGAGACCTAACCATGGCAGCATTGAGTCCTATAAATAAGATACTTTTTCCTTAACCTCACTCAACTCGCAAACAAACTGCAATCACTTTATGTGAGCAACTCACAGACGCATACACACCCAGAGAAAATGCAATAAAACTTGGGTAAATAATTTCCCGAAGTATCAGCCCTCTGCTGCCATATTATTTACACAGTTAGCTTCAGCAGACGCCATTTTGTATTGCACTATATTTATTTGTTATTGCAAAGGACTTCAGTGTCATATTTATCAACGTCTGTGGCAAATAATTTTATTAACTTTTCGCGCAAAACTTGAACTTACATTGAGGCTGTGCGGAAGAGGGTAACTTTTCGCTGGAAACTGTGAACTGTTCGCGAAAAGTTTCGGTTAAAACAGGTACAGTGTCTGAGCCTCAGTCTGAGCCTCGTAATTGTGCCCTGGTCCAGTTGGCCGGTGTCCGGTTGTGCCGGCAACTTTGTGCTCTACTACTAACTGCAGCGCATATTTTATTATTATCCTTTGCGCAAATAAATAGACTTTTGCGCAAATTACAAAGCGCACAACTAACTGGGCGACTTTAAGTTGAGCCAGTGTGGCAACTCTGGCGGAATGCATTCGTGTCCGTTTGTTTGTCGCTAGCGACAAAAACTTTGCCCAGATCTAATCAAAAATTCACTTAAAAAGTTTGCGCTTGCCCTCGGCTTCATGGCCAGAGCGGAATGACTTCAAGTGCAGCCCCCACATACCCGCCAACCTGTTCGCGTTCTCATTGTTGCATTTTCATTGTAATGGAAAGTACAGTCGGCTTTGGTCGAACTTGGGCGAGCACCTAATGAAATGTGCTCTTAACTCTGCGACAAGGTGAAAGTTAAACAATCAACGAGACTTTTTGGTTCCTTTATGCGCTGTCTGAGCGCTAACGATGCTCGAAGAGCTTTCGCATTTTTCTTATTTATAATTCTCAACAGCTTTTAACGCATGCAAGTCTAATATACATCGGCATTGTTTGTGAAGATCGCTGATAGCTATCGAGTTAAGTTAAGATAGTAAGTTATCTTAATGGAGCTTCAACGAACAGCAATTATGCCAATTGATAGAAAGTATCTTCCCGTAGATTATAAAGTGGCCAATACTGAAAAGAGATAGTGGAAATTTTTGAGAGCTGCGCATGGGTTTGGTAAGTCAGTGTTGAAAAGTGTTGCTCAATAAATATGTGTTGGATTTGTCGAACATACAGGGAATAAAACTCTTATTCATGATAAAAATAAAAAAAGGCATATAAATATTAATACTATAATTCGATTGCTGTCCGGACTTTAAAATTTATTGTTAATGCATCTATCACATTTTGTCAATCAAATTGACAGCTACAACATTTTTATATTTTGGTTACTTAACTTCCACAGGGACATTTGACGTTATTTAAACCAATTGCATTCAATCCATTCGTTTGGCTAATGGACATTGATTCACAAAACTGTCAGCTGCCACTGCTGCGAATGGTCACAACATGAACAAACTGTGGCAACAACAAGAATTATTCACATTCAGAATGTCTCATCTGCGTTCATTGAGTGTCATACATTAAGTGGCAATTTCAATATGCAACGCGATGAAAGTAACAAAATCTGTAGCCAATTGAGCAACTGCACAGAAAGCAACTTCAGTTGAAGAAATGCTATCGTGACGCTTGTCACTTGCCCGTCACCTTCCTTCCAGAGCCAAACAATGCGCCGGAAAATTGCAACAAAAATTTCGCGTGCACACTCAAAATTTTCAAGTGCAGCTTTATAAAGGGAGCCACCAAGGAACTCAGCTGTCTGTCTTAAATACCCTGTTATTGTAAAATAGGCAAATGATGCACGCTGGAGTTGGGTAAATGCATAAAAAGAGAGTATAGGCAGACTTCAGGTTATTGTGTTTATAAGAAAGGTTGTTTCTTATATGGAAAGGAGTACGATAATACCAGATACAGACGATTATGCTGAAGGAGATTTGAAGACGGAAATATACTGTGTTTATAATAAACCTAATAGAAAGTATAAAAAAATAAAATAAAATTGGATGCAACTTTATAAGATGAAGAAGATTAGAAGACTGTAGAATTTTGTGTATATAAAGAACCTTGGTAAAATGTGTGATAAAATTGGATAAAAATTTAAGGGATGACGGAGATTTAGATACAGAAGGACTATTTAGAAGAAACCTTGTGGTAAACTCGATTGATATGGAATAAAAAGTATATAGGTCTGTTGCTATAAGGTACACTTTCTCTTAATTGGTATCAAAAGCTTATTTAATTTTACGATAAAATGCACCTATTCTTCGGCTGTTCGAAAGTTTTAAATTTGTATCAATCTATTGTTTTAAGTCTTGAATAGAAAAAATATATTATTTTTTTAAGCATTCGTCTTCAAAGCATATCTCCTATGTAATCCAAAATTTGTATAAGGATCGGTTAAGAGTTGTTCAAAGTTGTATTAAAATCTATTCACTTGTACTTTAGAACTGTCTACAGGGTATTTCCAAGTGTAAGCTTCTTGCTTAGCGTACTTTTACTTGTTTTATTCCAGAAATTTTCACAAAATTTCAAATAACTTGCAATCAAGGTTCAGAAGCTAAAAACTTCTGCAGTCTGAGTTTTTTCTTCTCTTTTGCCTGGATGGTGGGTGCTGGCCCGAGGGGGTTTTGGTAGTATGGGTGTATTTCCCTAAACGCTGTCGCGTCTGGAAATCAATTTAAGTTAACTCAAGTCTATTGTTTCCGCGTCTGTTGAGCGCTTTAAGCATAGCTCTCAGTCTCATTTTCCCCATTCTTTTCATTCCGCTTTCTGAGTGCAAGAGTCGGAAGAATCGGCAACCTCTGTTGCCAGGAATTTTTATGAGCTGCCGTCGTCGACGACATCGGCCTTCCATCGTGCAACTTCAGACTGCGACTTGCTTGTTAATATTTCACCTAGATTGATATCGAGGGCGCAATGTAGGGGCATTGAGGGGCAGGGGGCAATGGAATTTCATTATATGCAGCCAAAGCCAAGGACAAAGACATGTTTTTAATAGTTTCGCATGTTTGCGCTGCCTGCTTTACTCTTTACTCTCTTCAATTTTTTTTTGGCAAGTCCTTTTTTTTTTTTTTATGGTATGCTCAAAGTTTTAACATTTTTGCTTTAGCATTTTGAATAGCTGCATATTTAACCAGCGAACTCGACATGCAAAATCCATCAGTTTAAGCATAATGAGGCTTGTTTTCTTGTAGGACCGAAGATTTGATAGCAGAGAAACCCAGCAATCATGAGCTTTACTATTCTTCTAACATTTCTGCAACACTGTAAGCCACATGTCTACAAGGATGTTTAATCTTCTGTGTTTTCATCTTATTGGAGATGTCCTTCACCGATAGCTAAGTATGTTTCCTATTGGTGGATTTTTAAGGTAACTCAGATAAATATAATGTGTAATATAATGTGGGAAAACGAAAGCTACCATTTACTCAAAGACCGGTAAGAAACAAGTTGACTCTTACTTTACTCTTAATTGTCGGGAGTGCTGTACCCTTAGACCCATACTAAGGGAAATGATTTCGTGATTGAATTCGGTGTTTTTTGTCTGATCTTCATAAAGTATTCAATGTATTACAATGGCAACAAACGTAGGCAAATACAAAAACTCAAGGCTATAGCTCCAAGAATGCTTTTTTTTCTCCAATTTTTGTGAGATTGGAATGACATATTCTGGATTTGTGCATACCATACGAGAGTTTCCATACAATACTCTATATAAACAAACTTGTTCTGTGTGGGCATTTCGTCGTGCTAATTAATTCATTTTAAGTCTCTACTTAGAGGGATGTTTGGACAGAAACACGTACATGTCTAGATCGACTATGTCTATGTTGTTGTACTGGGGTAGCAAATGTCTCCTTCTACCAGATACATACGTTTGCATTAGGCAATATACCCTATTTACCCGTTAGGCCATTGGCATTGGTTCACTCAACTATTCTACATCTTTGAAATAGTTGTAGTCTTATTAAACGTCTTTAAATTGATAAGACTATGATAACATAGTATTTTGGTCAATGGCTTAGACATATTTAGCTTTTAGTGCCCATATCAGTGCTGCCGGTCAGTCGTCAATTATAACTGAACTACCAAAGTGTATACATATATGTATATATGTAGGTAACTGATAAGCATAACAATATCAATTGCCCGGGTTGACACATTATTCAGTCACTAAACAGGTGCGGAAGAACGCAGATCCTCGAATGGAAAGCAAAATATTTGCTCTGCTGCTATCGGCACTCATCTGGACGGATTGTGCTCAATCTCAGCTGCCAGATGACTTTAGTTGTGAAACTGTTAGTTCACAGCGACTCAATTTAACAGCTGTAAGTTTGGCCTCTAACAGCAACTGTTGGCATGCTGTTAATGCTCTCTTTAATTTAATGCTCTCTCTCTTATTTACAGCTGGCGGGCTACTGGTTCGAGGCAGTCAGAGTGCCGAATGTGGATGTTATGAAATGCTTAAATGTCTCCGTGCCGGCAACGGTGGATCATGGATTGGAACTGCAATTGGAGTACGTCAACACGGTTGATAAACGACCTCTGACCGTTAAGGAGACCATTTCATTTCCATGGGATGACGCAACTGCGAACGGTCTTTTCAATTTGGAATATATTACCGAGTTGATGAACATAAGTGTCACCTACAAACTGGTCTATGCCCAACCCAAACTTATGGCCATCCTTTGCGGCTACTCTAGCATCTCGCCGATGCCGCTCTTCAAGATATTTACGCGCCAGCGCCAGCTTGATCCAATTATTGTCAGCTATATTACCAAGCAATTAGATAAAACCCCCTATGGTAATAATTTTCATTGGACAGAACAATCACCGGATCGTTGTAATGCTGCAGTCAGTCCAAAATTGACAGTCATAGTAGTATTTGGATTGGCAATCATATGTAGTCTATGGAGTTAATCAGCTGAAACAAGTGGCTGCTTATCGTTATCTGCTTATCGTTATATAGTTATGAGTCAATTTTGTTAAAACAAGTGGTAAAAGCTAGGTCAAATATTTGTATTTATAAGATATACATCGATCTGAGTAAGCGGACTGTACGAATTTTGAACAAACTTGAGCTGTATTCGATTTTATGCGTAGCACTCAGGCTGTGCCTTTTTATAATTTTGCAATAACAAACAAAGTGTAAAATTAATTAAGCTTTATAACTAATATATAATAATGTAAATAAAATTCTAGTCAAGTTGTACAGCAGCAAGTCAGTTCCTTGTTTAAGTTAAACATTCAAAATGTTAGCAAATTTGTTTTTAATAGATTCTGGTTGTTATAATACATAAATATATGAGGGCTCCGATCCCCTCAATTACAGAAAACATGTAAGCCACATCCAAAACAAAATTCTGAATCAATCAAGTTTATGTTACTTCGAGTGGAGCATAGATTATCTGTTTACCCTTGCAGAGGGTATTATAATTTAGTCGTGAAATGTGTAACGCATAGATGGAGACATCTTTGAGTGCATAAGGTTTATTTATTCTTATTAGTTTTAATCAACATCGGACCACTGTATCATATAGCTGCCATAGGAACGATCGGTCGAACATTAAGTTGTATGACAAACTATTTTGGCAAGGCACTATGAGTATTATGAAAAGGTTGGGTCTGTAAGGGTATTAAATCATCGGCGTGCCGAAGATAGCCCTTTTTTCTCGTTTTTGTGTGTGAAAGAGTTGTTTCCCACACCACTTGATGTTGCGACAGATAAACAGCTCACACAGCGCACTTTAACATATATAGGTACAAATCTTGTTATTTAATTAAAGATGACAAAAATGTAGCGAGTGTCTCTTACGACTTTTGATTTTATTCGCTTTCAGTGTGTACAACCGGATCGGGAATACTTTATCATAGCAGCTATTGGTCAAGCAGTTTATTGATATATATTTATTCTACAGCATTCTGGAGATAAGTGTTATCTCTGGTCATTATATAGTTTAATGCGTTTGTGAGCATTCGACTTTTTATGGGTACTCATGACGTTAATCAAATTAATAATTAAAACAAGTAAGAGGTTCTAGTCGGGAGCTCCCGACTAGGGGATACCCTGAACCCTCTTCCAACATGAAATGAATATATATATTCTATTTTAGAAGCTATATGTCAAGTTTGGTGACTCTAGCTCTTATTATTTACCAAAATTGCCCAAAAAACAGGATATCGATATCGATTCTTATCAATTGCTTGGAAACGAAGTAAGTTATCGATTATTGGAAACAAACTCGATCTGCGCGGGAACTAGGAGCATCTACATCAATTTCAAGTCTCTAACTCTTATAGGTTCGGAGATCCTTGCGTTCATACATACGGACGGACGGACGGACGGCCGGACGGACGGACAAACAGACGGACATGGCTAGATCGGCTCGGCAGTTGATGCTGATCAAGAATATATATACTTTATAGGGTCGGAGATGCTTCCTTCTGCCTGTTACATACATTTGGATTTTGCACAAATATAATATACCCTTGTACCCATTTTTAATGGGTTCAGGGTATAAAAAAAAAAATTAATTAAATTTATATGAAAATAATATGCATAAGAAATCAATTTGTTTTATTTGAATTATTAATAATAATTATACAAATGATACACTTTACACTTTAGCTAAAATGATTCTATACATTTGTTGATAAGCGTTTCAAGTTTTAAGTGTCTAGTTTTCCATATTCATATAAACAATGTCGTTCAGTTCTCATTATTCAAAGCTCTCTATACTCGCCGAGTCCGGCAAGCTAGTTTATATGCCGCTCAGTTTTCTTGTGGATGCAGAGCAGAGCACAGATCTCCGAATGGATGCGCATTTGTTTGTCGCGCTGCTTTTAGCGCTCGTCTGGACGAGCAGTGCTCAATCTCTACGCACACAGGCAGCTATGAAGGACTTTAAGTGCGAACACGGCGTTCCAGGACTTCCTCTTAATTTAACTGCAGTAAGTTGGAATCTCCAGAATAAAGTCCATGCTAGTTATTTTCCAAATGCCTCAGATGTCGGGTTATTGGTACGAGGCAGGACGCGCACCCAAAGTTAATGTTTTGAAATGCTTGAATGTCTCGGTGCCAGCAACTGTGGATGTAAAACTAGAACTGAAGTTGGAATACATAAGCACCATATCTGATGAAATTCGTGCTGTTAAGGAGACGATTTCATTTCCCTGGGATGAGTTAACGAAAAACAGCATTTTTGTGTTGAACTATGGCGACCCATCCAAATTGCCCATCTCAGTCACCTACAAAGTGGTTTATACCGACCCACAACTGTTGACCGTGCTCTGCGGCTACTCGAGCATGTCGCCTATGCCGCTCGTCAAGATCTTGTCGCGTGAGCGCCAGTTAAATCAAGAATTCCGTGATAATATTCAAGCGAAAATCGACAAGGCGGGAATGGCCGATTATTTTATTTGGACAGAACAATCACCGGAAAGTTGCAATGCTGCAGTGCGTCCGGCCACAGAAGCTGCTACAATACTCGCCGTGTTGACACTTCTATGGTGTCTGCTCCAAGGGAATTGTCGTTAATAGTGTGGAATATATGCTTATCTTGGGTACCGACTAATTAGCTCAGTCAATATATATAAATCATATAAATATATGCCGAAGAAACAATTTAAAATGTAAATGCTCAATCTCTATCTATATATATAAAACTGTTTGCTCTGACTGACCTATTAACTGTCTGATATCGTAAGAGCTGGGAAGCTGAAGTTTTCACTATAGTTACCTTATGTAAAGGTGCACGATAAGACGGGGTTTCGGGAAATTTCACTTGTTGTTTGAAACTTTTTTGTTAACCATCCGATCGGCCTCAAAATCAATTGTAAAGTTCTTTGTTCAAATTCATTTGAGACGTGTTTCACATTTTTCGCAAAATCAACGCTTCCTCGGTTTAAGTATTGTTCGATTTGCTTCAAACCTTTTTTCAAAATTCTACAAAAGAACCTAATGAATACGTGCTTCAACCGATTTGGGAAATTTCACACGGAACAGTGGCAAGTTTTTTGCTTATCATCCGATCGGTTGCAAAAACATTTTCAATGATCTTTGAGAACATTTATTTTAAATATGCCACGGGCAAGGCAGGGTTATATCCGTTAGAAAATATGTATATTGAGGCTGTTAATGCTCTCTTAATTCATTCAATTTACAGCTGGCGGTCTACTTTTACTACTGTGGATGTTATGAAATGCTTAAATGTCTCCGAGCCGGTAACAGTGGATCATGAATTGGAACTGCAATCGGAGTACGTCAACACGGTTGAAAAGCGACCTCTGACCGATAAGGAAACAATTCCATTTCCATGGGATGAAACAGCTGCGAATGGCCTTTTCAACTTGGGATTCAATACCGAGTTGATGAACATAAGTGTCACCTACAAACTGGTCTGTACCCAACCCAAGCTTATGGCCATCCATTGCTGCTACTCTAGCATCACGCCGATGCCGCTATGATGCCCCTATGGTAATAATTTATATTGGACTGAACAATCACCGGATCGTTGTAATGCTGTCCAAAATTGACAGTCATAATAGTTTTGGATTGGCATCAATTGTAGTATATGGAGTTAATCAGCAACTATCGTTATAGTCATAGTTTTTAGTCATTTTTGTTACAATTAGTGTGAAAAGCTACGTAATCTATTCACATTCGTAAGAAATATATATAGTAAATTGATCTGAGAAAGCGGACTTGACGAATTTTGAATATTGGGTAACAAGCTTGAGCTGCATTAGATTTTATGCGTACCGCTTAGGCTGATGCAATACTTAGTTATTATTGTTATTTTAAAATAACCAAGTTTTACAATCTAAATATAATTAAGCATTATTAATAATATATAATAGTTTAAATAAAATACCAGTTAAGTTGTTGGAACGATCGATTGGTAAGTAGGTTCTTGTAAAAAAACTTTTTTCTTTATCAAGATATCTTGACCAAACTTGGTATTCATCTATTCTCCTATGATCGTTATTTTAATTAAAAATCCTACCAACATCCTACTTCCATAAGGTTGATTTGACGAAAATAAAGTAATTAGAAGTAGGTGCTCCTAGTGCCTGCGCAGATCGAGTTTGTTTCCGATAATCGATAACTTACTCCGTTTCCAAGCAATGGATAAAAAGCGATATCGATATCCTGTTTTTTGGGCAAATTGGGGAAATAATAAGAGCTAGAGTCACCAAACATATGTTGCTTCTAGAATATTATATGTATGTCAAGTATCTTTCATTTAATACCTATCGCTACCTCTCCGCTACCAATAAAGCTATAAATCAAGTTAATAACCCAACTTTTATTGCCAACCAATTTAAACCACAATTTCAATGCAATTAACTTTTTCAGAATAGACAAATATTCTATGGTACAATAAGATATACTATAGAAAATTTAATAAAGATCGGTTAAGAAAAACCAAAGTTATATGCAACTGTGCAATTGGATGGGGCAGCAGCTTTAAGAATTTCTGTATACATGTACACACACACATTCATATTGTGTCATGTTTTTCGTATTTATATAAATGATATCGTTCAGGGCCCACTCTTCAAAACTTTCTTAATTTAATATAGGGTAGACTTGCGTGTGCCTGAACAATAGTTGTCTGACAAGCCGAGTTATATAAAAAGCAAAGCTGTTTTTTATGCAGCTCAGTTTTCTTGTGGATGCAGGGCAGAGCACAGATCTCTGAATGGATGCGTATTTATTTGTTGGGCTGCTTTTAGCGCTTGTCTGGACGAGTAATCTCCGCCCGAGAGCCCTTGCGATGTTAAGGGAAGTCCCCTTAATCTAACTGCTGTACGTTGGAATCTCTAGCATCAAGCCCATGCTAATTATTTACCAAATTCCGCAGCTGTCCGGTTATTGGTACGAGGTAGCACGCCTACCCAAAGGGAATGATGTCAAATGCTTGAATGTCTCGGTGCCAGCAACTGCAGATACCGAATGAAAAGTGAAAGTGGAATACATAAACACCATAGATGATAAAATTCGTGTTCTTAAGAAAATAATTTCATTTCCCTGGGATGAGCTAACGAAAAATGGCATTTTTGTGTTGAAATATGGCCACGCATCAGTCACATATAAAGTAATGAGTATCGATCAATTTGGGATCGAACTCTGCAGCTTCGCGTCTAGCGTAAAGCTTTTTTCGCGCCAGCGCCAGGTAAATCAAGATCTCATTAATCGTTTTCAAGAGCAATTCGGAAGTGTGGAAGTATTTCGGCCAGAACAATCACCGCAACGTTACAGTTTTGCAATTTTTTTAAATGTGATAATTTATGTATATGCTATTTAGATGTCTGAAAACCTCATGTGTTTTTATGCCCTGAACCCATGAATGATGGGTAAAAAGGGTATAATGTTTTTGTGCAAATGTATTTAACAGGCAGAAGGATGCATCTCCGACCCCATTAAGTATATATATTCTTGATCAGCATCAACAGTCGAGTCGATGTAGCCATGATCGTATGTCCGTATGTATGAACGCAAGGATTTCAGAGCCTATAAGAGCTAGAGACTTGTAATTTGGTATGTAGGTTCTCCTAGTCCATGCGCACAACGAGTTTTGTTTGCGATAATCGATAGCCTGCCCCAAGTGACTCAATATGTTGCTTCTAAAATAGTGTACACAATATATCAAGTGTCTTTCATTTTATAGCTTTCGCCGCCACAAAGCTGTATATCAAGATAATAGACCAACTTGTATTGCCCACCAATTTTAATTTTTAATTTTTTTTTTTAATTTTTAATTTTTTTTTTTTAATTTTTAATTTTTTGTTGGTAGAAGAGGGTTCAGGGTATTCCCTAGCTCCAGGAGCTCCGGACTATTACTATTATTATCATTATTATAATTAATTTAAATATATTTTTTTTAATTTTATTTTTGTTATATCAACTCCATAAAAATAATATAAAAAACTATTTTTATAATTTTGTCGTGAGGTGTGTAACGCATAGAGTGTGACATCTTCGACCCCATAAAGTATATATATCCTTGATCTGTATTAACAGCCGCTATCTTAAAGCTATCTTTATGAAACTTTGCAGAAGTCTCTCTTTCTGTTGCACGAAAAACATTTTTATTAAGCGAGATATCTTGACCAAACTCGGCATTATTAGGTTTACTACGCTCCTCATATATATGCAAAATCCTATTCAGATCGGACCACTATATCATAAAGCTGTCATAGGAACGATCGGTCGAAAATTAGGTTCTAGTATAAAAACTTTTTTGCTTATCCAGATATCTTGACCAACCTCGGCATAAACTATTTTCCCTGTGCTTCTTAGATATGGGCAAACCACTATGAGACTTATTAGAACTTCGGCGTGCCGAAGATAGCCCCTCTTTCTCGTTTGTTTGTATAATCGTGTTTTTTCAGTAGTGTAAAATTATCTCAACTTTTGCAGCATTACATTACTTTGCACGTTCTTCTTTAACGTTTCGTGCATAGTTTTTAAAACATTTATACGCTAATATTTATGTTTTTTTCCATTGCTCCGTGTTAATAATTTTTTAAGTCTTTCGTCTATTTTGTTGTTGCTGTTGCATTTTTCCAGCTGATAAACGATTTGTATTCAGATTAAATAAAAAAAATATACATACAGCGAGCTGAGAGACGAATTTCTATGCAGCGGGTAAAGGCGGCTCGTGCAGCGGGGTCAGTGGTTCGATTTTGAGGGCAGTCGTGCACGAACATGGCTCAATAAGCACACACAAGTGCAATTTTATAGAGTAGCTAACGTGAGCAATGCGCAAAGAAATTGAAGAACAAGTAAGCATTTTGAGGTCGAATATGCGTGACTAGGAGATATCATGAATTGCTTCTCAATGGGAATTTAAATTGGGGGAAAAATATGAAAACACACATACAATCACATATATTTACACACAAAATATATTTCGATTTTTCTTAAAATAAAACATATAAAATCAAGACGCTTTACCTATTAATTAATTATTTGGTGTAACAATGGGATATTAATTATATGTCTAAAGTAAGGTAAAATTTGCTGAATAAGTTCATTTTAATACAGTTTTTTTACAGAATTCGTAAGATCCACATACTATTTATATATATATATTCAGGAATATATATATATGGATATATATATATATATATATATGTATATATAATTATAATTGCGAACATTGCACAAAAGCAAATAGCCTCTTATATTTCTAAGCATTTCTAATGGCTACAGGGTACTCAAAAATAGCACGGCAAATTGAAGAATTTTCCATTTTCTTGGCAATTTTCATTTTCATAAACTGGCCACGGCCAAATGGGGCTAAATAAAGCGAATGGAATGAAAATGCTTTAAGTAGGGCCGCCAGCGCTTTCGGCTGGAGCATCAACTCCATCTCGCTTCGACTTCATTGGCTTCTTGGGCAGCTAGTGCGCCCAGGAGCTGACCAGCTGTGTGGTTCGGTTCGTCCATGGATTGAAGTCAATGAAGTGCAAATCGTGGCGCAGTGGCCACTTTCATTGATTTGATGCGTTTGCGTGTGCCGCTTGCGCTTGTTCCATGCTTGACTTGATCTACACACAAAGCAGCAGCTACGATGTTTTGTTAGTGGAAGCTGTAGCTGTTTACCTATAGCTAGCCAAGTG